ATTTGAGACTCAGGCCTATAATTCTGTATATGGTGCAAATTCTTGAAGAAAACTAGGACCGAGCCTACCCAACTCAGTCAGTTCAACTGATTCATCAAAATTTTAGGCCCAAATCTACTCAACTTGGTCAAATATTGTTGTTGAGTTAAAATGATATCTAACCGTATGATTCTACTCAAGACATATGGCAGTTCAATTTTGAACAAATTCTAAAAGATTAAAATTCTGATTTATGTAAGAGATAACTAAGAAATGACAATTGAAAACCAAATTTAATACTCTTAGGGGTCGTTTGTTATGAGGAAAGAGGGATAAAATCCTGGGATAAAATGCAGGATTATCAAATAATCCTGCTTCTAGTTAGGGGTATTAGTTAGTCCCCAGATTATTTATCCCATCATTTCTGCTACAATGATGTGATTAGTTATCCCACTATATAGGGGGATAACTAATCCCACTGGATATCTCAATCATGGGACAACTTTGTCTATCCCATCCTTCTTACCAAATAACCCCTAGAAAATTATATATTTATGTCCTTCAGTAGTCAAAAGAAAGTTGTAATTTTTATGAGTATCATCTATAATGCATAGACGAGTGAGTCTTAAATTTTGAAGTTTGACTAACTATTTGCTTTAGTTCACTTTTTCTCATTGACTTGAGTGTGAGTTTAGAAGACGCATGTTGACATCCAATTTTGTCTCATGCTTCTTCCAACTTATTTGTTTGCACTTCTAACACCTTTCATAACAGAAGAATACTTATTCTTTTATTCTATTACAATTAAGGGCTTTTAATATCATCGTTATATATATTACTAATATGATCATCCTTCATTATGCAACCATCATCATCACTTCAAAATATTACTCTCTCCATTTCAATTTATTTGTCTTACTTTTTTTTAATTTGTTCCAAAAAGAATTTCAATTTATTTGCCTTACTTTTCTTTTAATCCGTCTCAAAAAGAAAGTATTTTTTTCGTTTTTGACAACTCTTTAATTTTAACTTTCCACCTAATATGTTTAATACCACTAGATAAAAGGACATTTTTGTACTTTCTACATATTTTTAGTTTAGGTATAGAAGATTCAAAAGTCTTCTTTACTTCCTTAGTTTCTTAAATTCCATGCCAAGTCAAAACCAATTGAAACAAAGGGAGTATTATTATTCTCATTTTAATATTATCATTAACAGTCATTTTTTAACATTTTAATTTATTTTCTTTCCGAATGCATCACATTTTTTTTATTCAATTAACAATAACATTTCTTAATTTTGTACATTTTATCTATATATATATATACATTTTATCTAGGTTTAGTTATAGCCCTTTATTTTTTATCCAACAACTAGAGCTCTTCCATTTTTAAGACCCCTATAATATTATTATCCAACAACAATGACAATGATTAAAGGAAAGTTGTATCTATCCTACTGTTTATAATTCCTATATCATTCTCATTTACTAAGTTGCTCGGACTCTTCACTTTTGGTGCCGCACTCGTGTCGACACGACATGGGTGTGGGTGTGGGATCCAGGTCCAATTTGGTAAACCGATTTTGGGTACTTTGACCAAAATCAATGGGGATAGTCAGGACAATTTTAATGATTTCTGTAATCTATACAAATAAAATTGAAGAAAATGGAATACCTTTTATATAGAAACTTTTATGTCACTCTTTTTTCTTTAATCTCATTCCAAGATTCTCCTCAAGTTCTCCTCATAATATCACATAATTAGGTTTACAACTCTATTTTTAGATATTTTAATTATTTTTAGGCGAATCCTCACACCCATATCCATACATGGATCCATATCCCCGAATCTTGAAAATTAGATCATGACGGATCCGACATCTAGATCCACACCCGTATCGAACACCCGAGTTCGAGTAACTCCTTCTCCCCTTTGTAAATTATGAAGCTTCTGTATGTCTTCATTCATAAGTTTTCACGTCTTTGCATTCACCAAGATGGAAACGAAACATTAGAGAATATACATGTTCACTTATTTACTTGTAGAGAAGAGTTACACATAGAAACCACAACAAGAGGAAAGGAACTATCAAGGAGGAAGAAGATCAAGAAATTGCTTTTAAAAGTAAACAAGTACATGGAATCTTTACATTTATTAAGAATCGTTTGGTGTGAGGTATAAGGAATAATAATTCTAGGGATAATATGCAAGACTATTTTATCCTGCGTTATAAGGAATAATAATCCTAGGGATAATATGTAGGACCAGTCCTGGGATTATTTATCCCACACTTTATACCTTAGTAATGGGATAAGTTATCCCATATACATGATAAAATAGCTTATCCTTAGAAGAGTTGGCATATGCACAGGGCATCTGAATTATCCGTGTGACCATGTGGCCTTCTCACTTAAGTAGTCCGCTCAAGAACCCTGAGTCTAGTAAACCAACCCATACAAAGACCTAAGATAGAGTTTTGCCTCCACTTCAAAGATTTTCCAACCCACCTTAAGTATATTCATGCATATGACTTAATTTGAAGTGGGTTCAATCGAAACCCTTTCATCAAAAAATTGCACTATGCCAAGCAAAAGGGTAATAGTTGAAATTTTAAAAGATATTTAACTAGAATCCCCTGAAATCAGGGGATTTTCTAGTGAAGTTGGCAAAGGGAGATCAAATTTTGCTTAAGGTCACAAGTGCTCAAATAGGAGTGACAATCCTTCACTTCTTTTAACCCCTTGTCAAAATTCCTCGCTCATCACTCTATCATAATCAAAATCATGCCCAAAAGTTTGATCGTTTACTCCTAATCCCACATTATTTTTGGTGGGAGGAGAAGTAGTAGTACAAATGATTCAAGTTATATACACAGTATAATGATTTTTTTAACATCATCATCATAATTTGACCTAATATAACAATTTACATACCATTTATTCTAGGTTACCAATCAAATACTATTGATTCACCCTGTGCACACCCAAAGGGTAGTGTTTGTGGTTTCCTTCGTCATAAAAAAAATATATTCATTTCATTGAACTTAAAACTCACCCAAAACGAGACGAAATGGAATCTAAACCTCACCAACAAAGTAAAAGTTCAGCTACTCAACCAACTGAGCTACTAAGATTCCTCGAGTTTGCAATAACACAACAAGAATCAAAGTGTCAAAAAAAGAAAGATTTAATACCGTTCTTGACCAGCAGTATCCCAGATCTGAGCTTTAACAGACTTGTGCTGTATCACAAGGGTTCGTGTCTGGAATTCAACCCCAATTGTTGCTTTAGAATCGAGGCTAAATTCGTTACGAGCAAATCGAGCTAGTATCTGTGACTTTCCTACAGCTGAATCACCGATTAAAACCACTTTGAACACATAATCTATCTTCTGGCTCGAATCCCCATAACCACTCGCCATTGATTTCTCTGTAAAATCAGCAGCTGAAAATGGAAGAGAGATCGGGGGTGGAAACAGAGGAGACGTAGATCTTTGCTTTGTCCTGATGGACCCCTGTCTTTATTCTTTTCCTTTTTCAATTTATTATTTCAAAAAGAGTAAAATAATAAAATTATTAACCCGAGGTCAACAACATATCTAAAGTATTTTTAACTTTTTTGAGTTTCATATTTAAACTACCATAACGTGTGTGAGTTTCAAAATGTGGGTACTAACTAATTATTTATCAAAATACATCTCAATTATTGGATGTGTGAATTTCTGACCTAATATATCATCACTATTCAGATAACAAAAGAGAACAATTGATAGTTAATGTGTATTTATATATATATATATATATATATATATATATATATATAATTGATGATAATTCAAGTAGAAAATTTGCATACCTGATAGTTCAGCTATGAACGTTAAAATAAAATAATACTTTAGGTGTGATTTTGACTCTTCACTCTTTTTTATTCAAAAATAATATTAGAGATCGATAGAATTAGTCGAGGGACCTAAAAAGCAATGGTTTACCTCTATGGCGAATGTTAGCGGTTCAAGTTTGCTTATCTCCAATCCGTGAACTTAATCGATACAACACATTAAAACACCCTTGTTGATGATATTTTACTCCAACAACATGTAGCATTCCTCAAACATCTGATATATCTTTAACCCTTCCCCTCTTATTAACACTACAAAATATTTTTGTTTATTATGAATAATTACCGGATATGAAAACAATGATTTAAATTTAAATACATGAAAACCTTATAAGCATCATTATTTTACAAGTTTCGTACCTAAATTATTTGATGTTCATAGAATTCCTACTCTACGGTCTACATTGTTTCTAATCTATCTCTTTCGATTTCTTTTCTTTTATCTCTAGCAATTTCTTTTCTATTTATGAAGGAAATAAGAAATGAGGTGGAAGAGACATTTCCATACTTGTTTTGATTTATTCAAGCGTTCAAATCATAGTTATTAAACAAAATAAAATACATACGAAACCACTCAAATATGAAATTACAACATGAGGGAATGTAACACATCTATAAATAATGGACCAAGAACACATCTTTAATATGCAATTTTAATAACATAAATTGCTATTCACACATATTAACAATTTCTTAGGGAGTGTTTTCACTTCACTTGGACCTCCTTCAACCTATATAAAGTTTTTGAAGCTTATACACCTTGTCTTCACTTCAACTTTAGGATTGAGCTACATAAATCTCTTCTTTACTTGCACTTTCATTTTTAGTACTTGATAATCGTCAGTATATGTTAAGCTTATATTTTGACTGATACTGAAAAACAGGGCGATCAAAGTTAAGTTTGAGTTTAAATTATGTGTACTTACGGTGTAAAAACTATTGGATAATTAGGATCCGGTTTTTCATTCACCTGCAAAACTCACCAAGTCCAACTAAGCATTCCATTTATTAAATAGTTAAATATATTAATCGGAAGAAGCTAATGAATCAAAAATATGAAGTAGAGGCAAACAGAGAGAATATTAGTGCAGCTAAACACTTTCATAATATTTCTTAATTTTATTCAAGCATTCAAAACATATTAAAGACTACTCAAATCTTAAATCACAAAATGAGGGAAATGCAACACTCTGAAGTACAAACAGTACATGTCTACAGGTAGAACAAACGACGACTATATTCAACAAACAAGTAAACAAAAAGCAACATGTTAACTTGCAGCACAGAAAGAACACCACCGAAAGAGATTTCTATGTTTCCAGAAATGTGTTGTTGATTTTGTTAAGCCTTTTGACTACTTCTTTCATGGTTATTCTTGATTCTGGCATTTCCTTTGTGCAGTCTAAAGCCAATTCTATCATGGACACGATGCAGATTTCACTTTTGGAAGTGATCTGTTTTTCCTCGGAAAAAATATTGGCATCCACAACGTCCATCATAGTCCCTGAAAATAATTGTGTTATCCATTTCCTCAAGTCAAGATCTCCATGGAATATCTCTTCATCTGTTGGCCTTCTTTTGGTCAAAACCTCCATCAACATGATGCCATAACTATAAACATCACCACTAGTGGACACTATTCCCTCTGAGCCATATTCTTAAACAAATGAAAATGAAAAAGAATTACTCATTTGAATATAACAATAGTGCGCGTACTAACAAAGACATGCTTTTTATTTAGTTCTAGTATTTGCAAGGGCTTGATTTAGATAAGAAAAAAATCAAATAGAAAGGTTATTATATAAGTGAGAAAGAAAGAAAGTAGTCTACCTGGTGCAATGTATCCAAGAGTTCCCAATGTCTCGGTATGTGCCATGGACTTACTTATGGCTAAAATTTTAGAGATGCCAAAATCACCAACTTGAGCCACCATATCTTCATCCAAAAGAACGTTGGCTGGCTTTAAGTCGCAATGAACTATTGGAGTGACATGACCATGATGTAGATATTCAATTGCCATTGCCACGTCAAGCATTATGGTGACTCTTTGATGAAGATTCAAGTGGCAATCTTCTCTGTACAACCAATTCTCAAGACTCCCGTTGGGCATATATCGCAGAACAAAGGCTCTTATATAGTCACTAGAACAAGTAGTAATAACTGGAACAATATTTCTGTGTCTAACATTTCTCATCACTTCGCATTCGGTATCAAACCTCTTGCATACTTGCTCATTTTCCAAATCCAGAACCTTAATGGCCACTACAGTTCCACTAGATAATGTGCCTTTGTAAACAGAACCAGAGCTTCCCTCACCAATTAAATTGGATTCATCAAAATTATTTGTTGCTAGTTGAATCTCATGATAAGAAACTAACTGATGAGTCCCAATCTCCCGTACCTTTTCAACATCTTTGAACTTTCCTTTATTTTGTTGTTTCATTATCCAAATTAAAACCAACAAGAATATCAACAAGGATGATATAACCACTGGAGTAACAATTTTCAGCAGAACCTCCTTAAGCTTTGATTGTTTTCCAGGATTATTGATAGCGCAAGCAGGAATCTCCAATATGTGCATTCCACATAGACCTTTGTTCCTGAGAAATGATTGAAGAGTGGAATTTGCAAACACGCCACCACTCGGTATTTCACCTTCTAAATAATTAAATGAAACATTAATGCTTTTAAGGTATGAGAGTTTTTCCAAAGACTTGGGAATAGTACCTGACAATGCATTTGAAGACAAATTCAAGAATTCCAAGCTTATCAAGTTGGCAAAGGATAATGGAATTTGGCCAAAAAATGAATTGTTGGATAGGTCAAGATACTGCAGGTTTTGGAGTTCCCCGAATCTGGTTGGTATCACGCCTGAAAAGTGGTTACTGCAAAGATATAGTCCTACAATGGCTTTCAGTTCTCCAATATCTGATGGAACTTCTCCCTCTAAAGAATTTCGTGACACACTTAGATAGAGAAGACCACTCATCTTCCAAAGACTCAACGGAAATTTTGATGAAAATTTATTAGAATCCAAATAAAGATGTTGTAGCAAGCTTAGATCTCCTATACATTCTGGGATCACTCCAGTGAGCTCATTATGTTCCAGATATAATTGAACCAAATTAGATAAATTGCATACTGCCTCAGAAATATGTCCCTGCAATTTATTGTAACGTAGATACAGACCTTGGAGTTGTTTAAGCTTACCAATCTCAGGAGGAATACTCCCTGTCAAGTTGTTTCCTTGAAAGTATAGGGTCATTAGACCGCTCATGTTGCTTATACCTGTGGGGATGAGGCCGTTGATGTGTGCATGTCCTATATGAAAGTTTTGAATAGTAGATGAAAGATTCCCAATAGAATTTGGCAGAGCGCCATTCAACAGATTGAAACCCACTTGTAGATATTTCAACATCTTACAGTCCGCCAATGAATTGAAGAATAACAACTCACACTCTCTTGGTTCATTGGTTAGTTGATTATGATGTAGGAAGAGATATCGCAGCTCATGAAGATTTCCCAAATTAGTAGGAATAGTTCCTGACAGAAAGTTATCATTTAGCTCCAATTTCTCAAGCTTGGAAGCATTTGTTATGAACAATGGAATTTCCCCTTCAAGCTGATTGTCTCCCAAGTAGAGTTCTTTAAGGTTCGGAAGATGAAGACCTGTAGTGGTTGGAATTCTCCCCAAGAGGTTATTGAAACTGAAAGCAATCACTTCCAAAGAAGATATGTTGAAAATAGCCTCTGGAATTTGACCAATAAGATTAGAATTGTCCTCAATGACTAATACCCTCAACTTTGATAGCTTCCCTAATTCTTGAGGAATTTTCCCTACTATGTGATTTTCTCCACAATAAAGATATTGTAGAGTGGAAATATTTCCCAATGAAGTGGGGATAGTCCCTTTAATTGGATTACCACCAATAAGAAACATCTCGAGTTTGGATAAACAATCAATATTTCTGGGTATTTCTCCAGTTATGTTGTTGTAAACTATGGACAATACTTTGAGCTCTGTGAGTTGGCATATGTTGGAAAGAATGCAACCAGAAATTTGGTTGAAAGATATAATTAAATGCTCCAGATTTGATACAATATTCCCTTGACCAAGCAAGAGAGGGCCGGAAAGGCTATTGTGTCGCAGATTTATGGACAGTAGTGACGAGATATTAAACAGTTCTACGGGAATGGAACCTGTTAACTGATTATCAGTCAAGGACATGTCTGCAAGTTGGCTCAGATTACCGACCTCCTTAGGAATGTTGCCGCTGAATCTATTCCCAGACAAACTGAAGTTCATCATTTTTGTGGCATTTCCAACAGAAGGAGGGATTATACCGATGAGACTATTGTTCCTGAGATTTAAGACTCTGAGTTGGGGTACATACCATGGCCCTCTCCACATTTCACCACTGAGTTCATTGAAAGCCAATGAAATTACTTGAACTCTCCGGTTTTGAAATAGACTTGTTGGTATACTTTCGTTGAGCTGATTGTTTTGAATATCAATCACTCGCAAGCGAGGCAAGTGGCCAAGTCCATAAGGGATGCCACCGCGGAAGCTGTTGTTCTCGAGATTGAGAACACTGAGGAAGGACAGATTGGCCAAAGACGGGGAAATTGTGCCTTGAATTTGCAAATTAGGAAGAGCCAAGGCCACAACCCTTTGCCTTTTTGAACTACAAGTGACACCAAACCAAGAGCAAAAGAGTATTTTGGTCCAATTATTGGCCAAAAAATGATTAGGACTTGTAATAAGATTTTTGAAAGCTAGTAGAGCTTGTTGATCAGTTTCATTTGAGGAAGCAACAGAGTAATATTGAATTACAAGTAGAAGAATCAGTAAGAAAATGTGCTTCTCCATTGGAAATAGAATGTTTGTATGTGTGGTATTTAAAAAGCTCATTGTTATATTTATAGATAATGAAAAAGCCTTAAAGGCACTACAAAATTCTTCATTACCCACCTATACAACAACTCTTCGACTATGAGAGGTTAAAACAATATGTTTCAAGAAAAGAAAAGGTTATCATTAATTAGTAGAAATAAATTATTTAAGTGTAATTTTGCTTTTAGATAAAAGTAAATTGGTTGTTAAACTTTTTTGAACAGATTAATAAAGGTGATTTCCACAACCTTTTATGTCATCAAATTGAGGAATACATTGGCCAACTTTATAAAGGCAAAAGCACAAAAAGACAGGTGAATTGATTGACACAAGAAAGAAAGTATATTTATATAATATGATTAGTTAATTACATGCATTATTAAGAAAGAAATAGAAAAACGTATGTATATATATATATACTAGTTTTCGAACACGTGCGTTACACGTATATACCATGCTAATTAGTATAAATACTTCCAAAATATAAGTGTACGATGTGTAAAATACAAGCTCAAATCAATGAACGGTTCAACATATTCAACTGATATATATTATGATCATTGCAAGACAAATCATACAAAAAAAATTGTTATCAATTGAATTGTTTTGAAAACTAATACTATAACAGCTTCAATTATGCAATTCTTATAATAGATCAAGTATTCAACTTGTTAAA